TGTCAAAAGAGGATTAATGTTATGTCAACCTTTGACTGGGCCCCACAAAGACAAAAGTAATAGTAACTATCTGTAAATTAATAACGGGGTAATTTGCTTGAAATTTACAAATTGAGAAAAGTTTTTGCTCATTTTAAGAGTTTAAGGTTCATGATTCTATTCAAGTAATAGTTTAGAGTACTCTAGAACACTATTAACCCTTTAATATATTTTTTTATCAATTTATATAATTAAAACTTAAACAGTTACTATATAAATAAGTTTATTTGAATGAATCTTAAATTTGCCATATTACATGGATAAGTTTATTTATATTTAATATTTTTTTTATCAATTTATATAATATAATTATGATGTTAAAGGGGTATTTTAGTCTAAAATATATTATTTAACGGTTAATTGTTGGATATATGAAAATTGAATCTTTAAAATAAAAGGAGAGGCATGTGTGATGTAATTTTTATTTTAAGAAAGGTTTATATAGGTTTTAAAAATAAAAGGGAGGTATTTGTAATTAAAGTAAAATAAAAGGTATTTGTAATTAAAGTAAAATAAAGGTTAGGTCGGTGTATTTCACCCTTATTATATATATATATATATATCATTTAATTTCTTTCACTCCAACATTTAATAGATAGTAATGAGGTGCCATGTACCTTTGGCCAAAAAAAAAAAAAAAAAAACAAGAAGAAGAAGGTACCATGTACGTCGCGATACAGATTACACGCTAAGAAGTGGGGTATCCTTATGTAGATTGTATTTAATGGTTGGCAAGAGAGAGCAGCATAAAAAGGGCTTCTCATTTACAAACCACAAAATGAGATTTATTTAAAAAAAATTATAATTAAGTTGTGACTTTTTATAATTTAAAATATTATATAAATTATAAAAATTATCAATTTATTAATTATCAATCTGGATAATACATACATAATCTAGATAATTTAATTTAATATTAATTTTTTTATTTTTATAAATTAACTATCCTATTTTGGATGGTCTAAGTTTAATATTAATTTTTTATAAATTTTTATTTTGATAAATACAATATCAAAAATAATGATAATATCATAACTAACACTGTCCAATTTTTTTAAATTACAAATTAAAATTTTTAAATATAACTCATTCATAATAAATCTGAATAATCAATTTAAAGAATTATTAAAATTTTAATATTAAATTTTGACCATCGGAATTAAATATGGAATGTCTAAATCAATTAACATACTTATTTAAAAATTTTATTTATATAAATCACGGTAGATATTAAGTGATTAAGTATCTTGCAAGTGAAAGAGGTTTTTTATGCATCTCTGAAGTTTGAATTATCCCACTTCCCAACCAGCGGATCATTTTTTCGCTGCATATGATCTTTATCCATATGCGTCGCTTCTGATCTTCCAGTCTGACAAAATCCGACGGCTTTTTTTTTTTTTTTATGAAAGCGATAATAAGATAGTTCACAAATTACAGCAGATCTGGTTTAAAGGCCTGTTTAAATACTCTTTTAAAATTAATTTTAGGTTTAAAATTATAATTTTAAAAAATTTTATTCAAATACCTCAATTTTCTCAAACTTCATTTGGTTTTCAAAATTCCATTTAAAATAAGTTGAAATTTGTTTCATTTTAAAAAATCAATATCATAATCAATTTTTAAAATTTTATTGAAATATCATCACATTCTAATAATTAATTTTTTTAATTAATTTTTTTTAATTAAAATCCAAACACACCCTGAGTCATCGCAAATCTAGTTTACTTTTTATCCATCCTCCCTCCTCGCAAATCGTTGCAGATGTGGTTCAACGTCTCAAATCTCAGTTATGAACTAACGGAGTGGTGTCAATTGTGAAGCGGTGAAGGAAAGTAGTGTGGCGCTAAATCTAAGGTAGACGTGTATGTTTGAATTTTAATTGAGTATAATAAATTATAAAAATAATTAATTAAATAATAAATTTTAATTATAATTAATTATATTATAATATAATTTATTTGGATACTTATATTAATAATTTTTATAAAGATCCAAAATTTAAATTTTACTTTAAAAAAAAGAGAAAAGAGTTTTATTTTATTTTTATTAATTTTTGTGTCTTTTTTGTGATTTTTTTCTTGGACCTTTTATCTAATTTTTCATATCACTTTGTATAAAAAAAAAATGCAAAAGCGAGAAGCTGAACCTTGCAACTTTGGGAAAAAATTGATTTTTTTTTTTCAAAAATAGCGATTAAGTCGGAAGTTGGCGTTTGGATAAATTATGAATTAATTAATTTTTTTGCTCCTAAAAACAATTAATCCCTCAATCCAAACAGGCACGTCGAGGAAGATGAGGAAAGCAACCTAAGGGCATAAAATGTCTTTAGCCATGACGTAATGCATCCCTATTACTGTGGTCTAGACAGTGACGAAGCTAGGATCTATGTCAAGAAGTGTAGATTAATTTTAAGAATAATAATTCAAAAGTAATTATTTACTATTTTGAAAAATAATATATTTTATAATTATCCCTTGCTTATTATTAAATGCTATCAAAAATATTTCCTACCATATCAGTCACTAATTTATAATATTATTTATATATAAAAAATTTATAAATATATAATAATCAACCATAAACTTTAAAAAAATAAATAAATTAGTATATTATTTTTTAAAAATTATATTAGAGTTTTGAATTTAGTAAATTTAAAATAAAGCTTAAGTTAAAACATTCACACAAAAAAAGAGTCTAGATTTTAAGGGATGCAAAACTTTGTCACTTTAGAGAGGTTAAAATAACAAAATTTATACTACTTATTTATAATTTCTTTCAAATTGAAGGGTGCATATGCCTCTCCTCAAGGACATGTAGCCATCTGGATGCACAAGAGTACAAGGGAATCTGGATTGCATTGCTATTATACTGAACTCAGCCAAGTACCAGGAATCACTAAAATGAATCAGGATTACATGCCAAAACCACAATCATGATTTACTAATGTGCTCCAACCGTTTCTTTTTAATTATTATTTATTTTGAAAAAAAATCTTATTCCCATTTATTTGTCATAATAAAAATTTAACAATATTGAAATATAATATTAGGATGCTCCATTAGAATAGTCTTGGGTTGAAGCCCAATAATTACAATCATAATGGGCAAAAGCCCGGTAATTAAAATATGATTAGGCTGAAGCCCAATTTGTTCAATGACTGAATGAATCCTAAACGAATTCCATGAAACCTTCAAAAATTCCATAAAATTAAGTCAATTAATCCCCAACCAAAATGAATTCTTCAATCAAACTTATTGAAACTGGGATGCTACATTATGACTAAGAAATTATAAATATACTTTCAACAATTTAACAACCAATATATTGATAACGAAATACTGGCAAAATAATAATAATAATGACACAAGGAATGGTTAATGGTTCCTATTTGTCTGGACCTTGGCTCGTTTTGTTTTTCTTCATCTAATTGCATCCAAGTACATTTATAGCAAACACTTCTAACTAGTTTTTAAGGATGAAATAATTGCAAAAGAAAAGGTTGGAATGATTGAGGGAAAACATTGTTTGACCAAACAGGGAAAAACAAAAAGGAAAAAGAAAAGAAAGTTGACATGCCTCTCAGATAGAGTAAAGAGGTTCAGCATTTTAATATTTTTTGCCCTTTCTTTTTCAAGAATCATGTGTTAAATAATAGGCATTGATACAGACAGATGGCTTTTGTGACTTGTGAGTCAAACTTTTACCATCGGATGATATTTAATTATTTTGTGATAAAAATATAATGAAGAAAATTGTTAAATACTTTCTCCATTTAAAATTATAAGTCATTTTTAATCAAATTTTATTTTTAATAAAATAATTATTTTCTTTTAAATTAACATTATTTTTTTATAGTTATTCCTATTAAACACCCTACAATAAATATAAAGTCATTCAACAATGGGAGCATTTAAAAAAAATAATGATTACACCTTAAAAGATTAAAAATACCTTATATTTTTAATATTTAACTCATTAAAAAATGCTTTATATTTTTATACGAAGAGAGTATTTGCATTAAGAGGTTTACTTACAAATATTATATTTTCTGGAATTATTTTTTAAATTTTATGCCATGTATTTCTTTAGTTCTAACTAATAAGATATTTCTAGATAAAATCACTTGTACCAATAAAATTTATTAAATATACTTTGTGATATTATTTTTTTCAAAATATAAATATAAATCTTAAAAAAATCCTTCTTTTAAATTTATTTTATAAAAAATACTAAAAAGAGAGAATATATATCAAAACTAATATTAAAAAATTATTAACAAAAATTTATTTTTATCAACATATTTTATATTTTAAGATATTGAATCTCTCGTAGAAGTATTTTATAAATTGAGAAGGAGAGAATATAAAGAACATTTAATTTTTTAAAATAAGTATGTTTGTTAAAAATATATTTGCATAAATAAATAGTATAATGAACGAATATCAGTAATCAATAAATTCTGGCAAAAATAATCAATAAATAATGTAAGTTTTATTTCTGGCCAATAAGTAATACTCCCTCCATTTAAAAATATAAGGTATTTTTTAAGGAGTTGGATATTAAAAATACAAAATATTTTTAATTTTTTAAAATATAATGATTGTCTTTTTTTTAAAGTATTTTTATTAATAAATAACTTTATATTTATTATAGTATTTTTAATAGAGATAAATATAAAAAGATAATATTAATTTAAAAGTCGATAATTATTTTATTAAAAGATGAAATTTGATTAAAAATATTTTATATTAAAAAAAAAGGAGTAACAAATTGACAATAAGAATGAAAGTTATTATTATTAGCGAAATAGGAAGATTTAAAACAAGAATATTAACGTACATTTCCAATTAAGACTAATCAGTGCAAGAGAAGCGTGTGCAGCATTCATTCCCTCGCTCCCGTTAGTTCAAATTTTAAAAACGACTCTTCACCTTAATTCAGTTCACACACCCTCACACCAACGCACACAACACAACACTCTAATTCTCTCTCCCAGATTTTTCAATTTCAAACCTAAAAAAGAAAAATAAAAAAAGAAGTGGAAAAAGGTTTGATTTGAGGTTTTGAAGACGAGACATCCTCTTCTCCTCCTCCTCCTTGACATGCTCATTCTCTTCCGATTCGTACTTCGTTTCCTCTACCGATCATTTTCCAGAGTCATGGGTTGCTTCTTCGGTTGCTTCAGGTTCAGAGACGATCGCCGCCTCCCAACTGCCCAGCTCGTCGCTGATCATTCCCGTTCCAAATCTGGTGTAATGTTCTAGAATTTTGTTTCATACCGCCAAGAACTGTCGATACAGCTTTTTCCTTATCTGCTTTTTTCTGTCTTTCTTTTGTAATTTCAAATTTGTGTTGCGTGCTTGCTAAAGAAGGCGGAGAAATTGTTCTTTATGGCGTCGTGATTTTTCTCGTTTCCTGCATCTTTAAGAAAATTGAGGAACAATCAAAGTTGCGTAGAGTTTTTTTTTTTAATCTATTGGTTGTTTATTTATTGTTGCTGGCTTTAAAGCAGGAAGCTGTGGTATCTCGAAATCATCTCTCTTCTTTATTTTTATCCGAAGGTATCTCTCTTTTCACTGCTATCTATTTCTTAGTTGTTATAATTACCTTTCTGAACCTTTTTCTCTTTTTCAGTATGATGCTTAGTACTTTTTTTTGGTTTAAAAACTTTTTTGAAGACAAAGAAGATGCTCCACGCGATGCGAGGATACAAGTTGGCTTGGGATCTCAGATGGATGACAAGGCGCTTATGGATGAGGTAATTTTTATCCAATGATAGAAGTATGCTATGTCCTACAAGATCAGTTGTATCGGATTTTCCATTTTGGTTTGTAATTGTACTTGGTGGACATTTTATTTCAATTTCAAATCATCCTGAGGGAGAACGCCATTTTTATCTCCTGTGATTCTCTTTCATCCTGTCAGATTTTATTTATGGGTTTCTCTTAACTCTAATCAGGTGCAGTGCACCAATTTTCTAGCTTTTGTTTTCTCAGCTCTTCTGTTCATGAGCGGAGTGACTGAGAATAACTTGCCATACATACCTCTTAAGTATGAGAATATACTGGAAACTAGTTCACATGTTAAGAATCAGCATTTCCTACCATCTTCGTCTAGTTTTGACTGTTATAGAAGTCATCCGTCACTTTGGTACCACCATTCTGGTCTCACTATGCCTTTTCAATTGTGTAATTCTTAGAAGTTTCCTTAGCTTTACAGAATCGTTTGTATTAGAAGTCCTTATTCGCTCATTCTTCTTTACCAATTTAGTGTGTTAATTTCTTACAATCATGAATCGACTATTTAGTTCTTCCATGACAGATTCTATACTTATTCCAAAGTAGAGATATTATCACGTATTCAATGCTATTATTCATTTTGATGGAACATCTATCTTTACATGAATTTCAAGACTAGGAATCTGTAAAATGCTTGAGAGACGCAATAGTCTGTTACTCTGTTATTGACTCTCTGCCATTGAGTTTTTCTTGTAACTCAAGTTGGTGCATATGGCTTTCTTTAAATGTGCACACAATCTCGTGAACTGACACTCCAGTTGCCTCAATATTGCTTTGGTTCATGTAAATCACAAATGTTCTAGTACTTGTCTTTGTTTAGTATTGTTCAATGTCAGAGGGATGGAGATGGGCGAGTGATTTTTAGAGGAATCTCTATCTGTTGACTTGGTTAGTAAGCCTAAAATAATAATTATAATTTATATGATGGCAAATTGATGCATATTGCTGGCCTTGTACTCAAACTGGACAAAAAGGTCATTGCGGCTTCAAATTAGATGTATCATTTTCTTGGTAATTCATCTTGTTGCCTTTGTTGTGAAGATAACAATTTTCAGGCTATCATGCTGATGATATTGCGTGGGTTCCACATTGATATATCTACTCCATTATGTAACTGTGCAGTTTGAGAAGCAGCAAAATAAGTAATCATAGAAAGTACACTCTTAAAATGTTAACTCAAATTTATACAAATTAAACTTATTTTATGAAGAATGAATCTTTGAGGTTCATTTTTACATGTAACAACCTTTTCAAAATATTTTAGGGATTTTTGTAATCAAATAATTTATTAATTCTTATTTTATGAACTTATTATCTAATTCTATTTGGGTGTCTTTGAATTCATGTATTGTTTCTTTAACATTGATTATCTGGTTAAGTAAATTAAATTTTTTCTGTAGGCCAAGTTTCTTAAAGCTTGCGGTACTTTGGCTGGGACCCCTGCTGATATCCGGAAAGCATCTCGGAAACTGAAACCGTCACCTTCTTGTAGCAAGGATTATGAATCTTCACGGTTTCATTCTTGGCTTCCTAATGCATCTGTTGAGAAGCTCCAGTTGGATGTTCAGACTCTTGATCCCCCAACTCCCATAAAACCTGGTGAACAATGGGGAGATGGCAGGGATTCTTTAGACCGCACACCAAGCAGGTTATCCAACTCTTTTTCTTGCATATCTCTTTTTCTTTTTCTTTTTCCTTATAATGATTAATAATGATTGTTAAAAACGGTTTTAGTCCTTTTTTAAATAGAAGATCGTATCTCTTTCGATCCCAGCTGATATGTTTAGATTTGGAAGTTGACTGTGCTTGGAATCGGCTATGGCTTATCACACTACCAAAGAAGCTACGAGAATATAACTCCTTAAAGGCTGTCCCTGGAAAGAAAAAAAAAAAAAAGAAAAAAATTGTGACGCTGGTCTCCCCCGCCCTTTCCCCCTTTTATCATGCTTTTTATGGAGTCGTCTTCTTGTGAAAGACATATTTTAGTTATACCTTGTCCTTTCCTAAAAGTTACATTGCTCTTGAATACATGATAATGATAAATTTATTAATCTTGCAGTTGTATCTCCAATGCACAAAACACTCAAAGTGACTCTGCTGACTCAACTGAAGGAAGTAAAGCAAGGAGCCTTTATACCGTTGGCAAGACTTGTGATAATCGATCTGAAAAAAATGCAGCTTCAGTTTCTCCATGGCCAACGGTTGCAGACATTCAGAGAAAGAACAAGTCCGTACGTTTTGAATGTGATACTGATTTCTCTTCCTGTGGGAGTTCTTCTGAATATGGTGGGGGTCCTATGAAGAAAACAGAGTCACCAAACAATCAGAGTGCACACAAATCATCACCTTACGCAACCCCTAGGAAACTATCTGATGAAATGCAAACACCTGGAACTGTGTACCCTGCAACATTAGATGATTTTCCTAATGGTAAGCCTCGAGTTAGGTCCCAGTTTGTGTATGCATTTCCAAGAACACGAGAGAATCTCTCTCAGTGCAAGGTGCTTGAGGAAGAAGATTTAAACACTGAGCAAGATTCAAGTGATCTGAGATCTTCTCATGAGCAGCCTCAAAATTCAACTCCTACAATAGAACAGTCAAAGCAACACTCATATGAAAATGAATCTAAAGTGGAAGAAAGCTTATCTACTTGGTTGAAGCCTGCATCAGTCATTGAGGCAGAGAGAAGGAAGAGAATGGAGGCTGCTTACAGTCAGATTCCTCTTTCTCGTAAAACTCCTGCAGATAGGCCTATCATTGGGATGGTTGCAGCTCACTGGAACGAAGAAGAATCCGAAATTCCTCCCCCAAAGTGGTGGGATGGCAATGGCATACCAAATTCAACGAATAAGTATAAGGAAGTATGTCTTTTACATCTTTATTTGTGATGCAAGGATTCAAAATTTAAAATACTGAAATTAATTAAAGCGGATTGTTTACAGGATCAGAAAGTAAGTTGGCATGCAACACCATTTGAAGAGCGGTTGGAGAAGGCACTGTCTGAGGACAGCTTTGTCTCTCAAAGGTATGCTATTCCTTCTATCCATTTGTTGTTTTTTTGTTTCCAATAATGCTATGAACAGTTAGTCGTTGTCTCATTGTCATTGATCAAGTACAATGATATCATATTATTCATGTAATTGACCTCACTTAATGGGATAAAATTCGTTATTTTTGTCATGGTGTGGCTGGCTTGCATTTGGAGCTGGCCAGTTTACTTGGGGCAAGATCCTGCTTGAACTCGATTAATTTTATTTTAAGGGCAAAAGACACGAAAAGTTGAACTCTGGGAATCTATGAAGATTAAATTGGTCAATATTACCGATTCAGAGACCTGCTTGGTCTCTCAAATTTGTTCGTGTTCATTGAAGAATTCATTCATTTTTCATTGCTGTTGAATGTGTAGTTCTCAACATTTCGTTCTATAAATATGAATAGTAACATCTTAGCAATTTGTGACTGATTAACAGGAAGAATGTATGTGGAAAGCCCATTGCTTTTGATGACAATGAAGAAAGTGATACAGCTCTATCTCAGATGCAAACCTCAAGTCATCCGCAATCTGTAGTGACATTTTGATAAATCTATCAGTTGGTCATTACTCATTCCTCAAGTATCGGTTGGTTTGTAATAGGGTGATGGCAGTTGAATTACCAATCCGATTATAAACACTTTTTGGTGGTAAGGTAGGCTACAAAGTGTGCCGGCGCTTGCATTGTACAAAAAGTAATGAGAATTTGAGTTAATGGGGGTATTGGATTAACGGAGCTTAGGGTCCGTGGACTTTAATTAATTTATTTTGTAAAATACATTAATTTATTGTGGACTTATTAAAAGAATTATAACAAGCATTAAAGAATGTCTCTAAAAAGGACAAGACGAATGCAACAAGGAAGTTCATGAATATAAGTAATAATGCAGGGCATGAAGTACTGTATTGTTGCAAATATATTTATTATATAAATTAATGTTAATATTGTGTTGATTAGATGACAATATCATGAAGATTATGTTGTTCGTGTTGGATGATATGCAAAATCTGCGCTCTCTGCAAGTAAAACAATGTGTTTGACAATCAGCGGGCCTTCATGAGTGCAATGACGTGAAAGTGGCTTTGCTTTGTAAATTGCAATATCATTTTCTCATACGGGACGCACAAAACTTATCATTATACCATAACGCAAAATGCTTAGTGTTAAAAGGTGATCCTAGAGAACACAGGCAGTGGCTAGCCATCTTGATTTGAGGGGTGCAAATCACTTTAAGAAAAATTACAAGTGATATATATAAAATTTACAATTTTACACCCTTTGAATTGAATGAAAAATTTATTAAATATATAATATTTTAATAATCTAAATAAGATATGAAAAACATATTTATAATAAAATATTATACCAATTTGTTCAATATAATTTTTTTACAATAAAAAATGATGATAAAACTATTTATATTATTATAATTTTAGCCCTAACATTATTATTATTTTAATATTAATTTTTTATTAAATAATTTTGCATCCCCTAACTCTAGATCTTGACTCTACCAATAAATACATGCAACATTTATAGAATATTATTGACACCTCTAATAATAGTTTTGATTGTTAAAATTAATTTCTTTAAAATAAGTTAATGTTAACAATAAGGGTTAGATCTAGTGAAAGGGATTAATCTCTCATAATGTAAAGAATTATAGTTTGAATTTTTACTGAGAGAGATGTTTATATTTAATGACAATGTTTTAAACAAAATTACTTTTAATAAAAGAATACCAACAAGAAATCAAAAAAAAAAAAAGAACTCTTAAATCATATTTAGAATCAACTATATTATAAGATAGATTGAATGAGTTAGTTATACAAGTGAAATGTTAAAAATATTTGATTATGAAATTTTATCAATTGATTTCAAACCTAATAAATATTATCATCGCTAATCTTTTAATGGCTTTTTTATATTCTTTAATATCTCCTCATGTATTTGATTTGATTATGTATAACTCTCTTTCTTTTAATATTTTTTGCACAAGATCTTAATGTTAAACTTACAAATTGAATCGTCCATTTTCCCCCTCAAATGCATCAAGGACATCTAGCTTGTGAAAGAAAGAAGAAAAATTTCTCACCCTGGTGATCCAAGAAAGCAAAATTTACGTGAAATTTGACGATTAAAATTAAAAAAAAAATTGAGAAAAAAAAAGAGAGAGAGAAGAAAAAAGATCCTATAAATTTAGGAATGGGTGGAACCGGAAGGCGGAAGGGTGGGCGGGAACTGGTTAGGGCACGCGGAGAGGGAAGAGAAAGGATGAGAGTGCTTGGAAGCGGCAATTACATGTGGATACGGAAACCAACCTGAGGGGATCGTGATGCTTTCAATTCCTTAGTTTTCAATCTGAATTTTCACTCTCTTGCTGCTCGCATTCTCCTCTCTCTCACTCTCTGTGCAGCTCCCATTGCTCACACCTTGGACCTCGTGATGATGCGCGTCACATCTGAAGGTTCTAATTTCAGCTTATTGATCTCGACTTATTTTCCCCCTTTCTTAGGCGAGTTATTTTGTAAATCGTCATAGTTTGATTGGAGTTTTGTGGGCTTTTGGTTTGACTCTGATTTTTGAGAAAAACGAACCCTAACAATTTTTTGTTTTGTTTGTGTGCTTTGTGATAGATTTGATTTTGCTTTGAAAACATGGCATCGTTTATAGCTTCTAGAGTTTTTGTTTGTGTTTGTTCGTTTGTCTCAGTATTTTGCTTTCCATTTTATCGCACTTGATTCTTGATTTTGAAATTTGAACACTAACCAGTTTTGTTACATTGGGATGTCATATTGTGAGGCGTTGGTGAATGGTGAGATTTGGATTGTGTTTCTGGCTAGACAAGGCAGACCTTCAGTCGGCAAGAACAGGGTAAAGTACAAGATATATGTGAGAGATGTAGATGATTATTTGTTGCCTGTAATGTGTAATTTGAAAACCTATGATTTTGATTAAAGGAAGGTTATTTTATTTATTTCACCAAGTGTTCTGGGGATGAGTTATGGATTGATTGGTTATTTCACCCATTCATATAGAAGAGAAGGTTCTCCAGTAGGGTGCTAAGATAATCATTTCTATAGAACCAGGCAAGGGTCTATTCCATGAAAATGAAGCTTAAGGATTAGTGAGGACTTTGCTGACAACATGAATGGGTGAAAACTAGCTGTGCTATTTATTTCAACCTTGTTGACATTTCAAAACCTTTTGAAGTCTGGTAGGACTGCATTCAATTCTGGTTCGACTGGTATAATAAATAAACAATCTGAGCCTTCAACATTCAACTGGTGTATCGTGAATATATCTTTGTATGTATGTATAAAAATCAAATGAAATGAATTATGAATTTTTATACTTGTCTGTATATGCGTGAGAAGAATTTGCAGGAGTATGCTATTTTTTGGCCTTTGAAATATATGGCCTTGTTAATTTTAGTCCTTAAAAGCTTATTGACATCAATTTAATTCTGAGAAGATATTACAATGGTTTAAGGATATATTAACTCTGCAAATTGAATTTGGCGAGATCCGATTCAAATCTTGTTATTTTTTTAATTATATTTATATTTTTTAATTTTAAATAATTCAGAATACAAAATGATACTATCAACTTATCAGATAAATAGTACTTTAATTCAGAATACACAATGATATTAAACTTGTAATGAAACAACAGAATTTGGACGATTCTCATTTTTATCTGGACAGGCAAAATGAAGCTGAACTTGTTATGTTTTGATGATATGCAAATACAGTCATGTCAAATAATAATTATTACTTGAGTTGTTTGCGAAAGCCAAGCACTGAATTTTCAAGATTGTTTATATTAAGCGATCTCGCTGGGGACTTTTGACATGGTGAACGCAAGTAATTCACAAACAAGTTGGTATGTTTCTTTCTCCCCCTGGTTATATATAGTTTCCGACATCCTAATAATACATATAGTACTTGCAATTGTGCTAATCGATTCTGTCCAACATTAATTGCCACTTGATAAGTTACTTGAAAAAAGTAGTGGTGAGTTGATGTTATAAATGGTGTCAATCAATGGATGGTACCTAGTTGAAGCAATCTAATTGAATAAGTAGGATGTAATTAGAAATAGTGATTCCTGTCGACTATTTAGTTTTGCTGTTCAGAAGCGAAGCTAGTCAGAAAGTAACTCAACATTGTGTTACATATGCATATGGAATAGAATAGGAATCATATCAATATCGGATTATGCATGCTCTGTTGAATTTTTCCAATTTTAATTTTTTTAAACTTCTAATAAGTCGAGTAAGATTAACATACTAAACTAAATACCGTCCAATCAACTTTTTTCCCCTATGTTGACTTGATAGTAATTACCAGTCTTTACAAGGTTAGAGTGTATGTATGTATGTATATATATATATAAATCGACCCCTTGCAAGTTGCAACTATAGTCATTGACCATGTGAGATGTGACCATGTTTGGCAGAATGCTTAAATTGCTAGGACATTCAGAATCATGAGGGAATCGTTTTGTGCATGTTTACCTGACTGTAACAATCTCACATCACAAATTCAGATCAAACTTATACGTAACTACAATATAATCTGAATCCACATAAATACTTTTTTTCAATCCTATTTATAAGACACCTTTTAAAAATAATTTTTGTTTCAAAATATAAGGCATCTAGTAATAATTGAACCACTTTTTTTCAATTTTATTCTTTTTTAATTAGCGTGAATGTATTTAATGTAATTGTATTATTATTTAAAATCAAAGGTAAACATGAAAATACATCTTACTTTTTTATGATATAAAAAAATTAATTTTTTTTTAAAATGCGTGAAATAACTTAAAGTGTCCTATAATAAGGATCAGAGGGAGTATAACCTTAAGCAATAAATAAAATGCTGACGCATATATGATAATGTAAATTTCTTTTTGTGTGTTTTTTTTTTTAACTTTTGTTGCTTTTTCGATGCTTCTTTTATAGATGGGCATGCAATTAAATATGAAATAGGACGAGTTCAAATTCTTCACTTTTCTACGGCCCAATGTCACAAGTGCCCTCTAGTTTATTGAGTTCACCGGGATAAGTTAATGGGCAATTTCGCCCACTCAAAAAATAAGTAACTAAAGGAACTAAAGCCCAGCATCGAAAATGTCGTAACCCAGGCTAAGGTGTAAAATATGAGAACCAAAGTAAACGGTCACGACCTTACTTGAACAGGATCTGTTCTGTAGGCTCGTACTTCTGTGTCTTTGAGTTTCAAGGAGACAAGAACAGCAACTTGGTTGATGAGATGGCCACTTGGTTGCCTGACAAGTTTCTGTCTTTTTCAATTTTTTTCTTTTGTCAGAAATTCTATGTTGTCCATCCGTTAACATCTGGAGTACTTATGGTGCTTTGTGGGGTATCATCTCACTGACTGAGATTTGCTATCGAGAAATCCTCTTCCCTTTCTTGTTCTTTGTTACATCTGGGAACTTCAATTTCATTTTCATCTGGGAACTTTTCAAATTCATTGTTTGATCTTAATACTATCTCAACCAAATTCATGAGTTTGCTTAATGTGCTGCCTTCGGCTTAAATTGGTTTTGTATTATTGGTGGCTCTCAAGTTCTACTTAGCATTTATACGGTGGTTGAGGATATTATATGCTGGTTAAAATTTTTGCAGTTTATGTGCTAAGTTCAACTTCTGCTCTGTGGTGAATGAGAAAGAAGCTGTGAAATTTTGCTGGCAAGCTGGATGGCAAACAACAGTGTGTTATTACGAGAATCTAAGGTTTTGTTTAGCCATGAAAATCTCTGACTGGCTAATTGTCGTCATTACAAGAGATTCATAAGTATCATTGTTTTTAGTAAACTGATCGGAGCAACGTTCTTGAAAACACTCCTATGCATGACTTAACAGATGCTGAATTTAAACTACATTTATAAAGGATATACCAAGGGGCATATATTATATGCTCCATTTTTTCTTTAAAATTTAGTTTATTGGTTCTAACTTCTAACGTAATGCACACTTCACTGGCCGTATTATATTGTTGACTCTATATACACTATTTGTAGATTTATTCTTCATACCCTATATATGCAAATTTCCTTTTGCATAGTACTCAGGAAGTTGCAGATTAAACAAGAACGACGTTGGGAATGCGTAGGGTCGGAGACAAAGTGCATCCCAATATGTCAAAATCTCCTCTGTCTATTTCTCATTCTCTAGAGTTGGTACGCAACTTATACAAGCAAGATAAGGTCGATGTCAACACTGGTTTTGTTTTCTTTGGATTGATTATCAGCATTGGATATGAGATAGTTGTTAAAAAGAAAAGAAACTTGAATTTCACATCAGAAAATGTGCAAGATCTCCTATCTTAGCTTGGAATTGTCAACTAGGAGAAGCAGAGAAGAAAGGAATAACAGAAAAGTATGCAAATACTATAATTCATTTGATGGTTTGAAGCCTTCAGTTACGTAATTTGAATGCATTTTTTCTTTTTCCATCAACTTAGAGCCTTAATTTCTAAGGTTCTCATGAGTGAGCCTGCAAACAGCAGCATGACGTATGTATAGGTTTAGGTTCTCTTCATCTGAAATCACTGTTGAGATTTGAGGATGAAAAAAAGAGCGACTGACTAAAAATATATTTTTATTAATTACTCAAACTACAATTTACGCAAACACTCATCACATTTCTTATATTTTTCCCTCACTCTTGTCTCTTTTTCTCCTCACTGACATTTACTATACTCCCACATACACGCACTTTTCCTTTCTTCTCACCTTACGTCACGCGCGTCTCTCTTTTCTCTATCTTTCTTTCTTTTCTTCTCTCCGCTACACCTTCTCACCTACACACACATCTATTTATACTTGGAGGATGTCGGTGGAAACCCTGTCCGGTGTGCTTTAGATTTTGCCCACCGCGCGCCATTCCTCATCTAAGTGCTAGGACATCCTGGGATTTTCTTATTTTATTATCTTGCTTCTTCAAAATTTTAGAGTCTTCATATTTTATTTTAATTAGTCTGTGATTTCTTAACAACCACCATAGCATTTCCAATGACTAACGGCCAGAATAAGAAAATTAGATAAAGGAGCATTGATCTCAAGAGGCTGGGTCCTGTGGGGAAAAATGTTGGTCTGCTTTTTTTAATGGAGTCATCGTCGTCATTATATATATATATATATATATATATTTATATTTATATATTGGAACTCAACAACCACTCGCTTGACTTGGCATGACTTGAGAGAGCAGCCCCTTTCTCAGTAATCACTTTAAAACCCAGGCAGGCGAAGGCAAGAGTGTTATCCTAAACCTAATTGTGAATTGGGTCTTAATCCTCTTTCTCTTTCTCATACAACACCATGGTGGTGAAGGTGTATGGCCCTGCCTGTGCTTCCACAAAACGCGTGCTTCTTGTTCTGATTGAGAAGGGCATTGAGTTTGAAACTGTCAATGTTGATGTCAGTAAAGGTGAACAGAGAAATCCTGAATACCTCAAATTACAGGTTCAACTCTGTTTTTTAGTTTTCCTTCTTCTTCTTCTTCTTCTTCTGCTTCTTCTTCTGGCTTCTGTAATCCATAGTTTTGTGAACTTGATTTCTGAAACTTGTGAGTCTGACCTGTACTCACTGTTCATGATGTGCAGCCCTTTGGAGTTGTTCCTGTGATTCAAGATGGAGACTTTACCTTATTTGGTTAGCCTCTTCCATGTTCTCAGCTCTCTCTCTCTCTCTCCCTTTGGCAACAGCTATCCGGCTTGTGGTATTATTAAATGAAAAGTAGTTTTCTATTCATAATGCTAATTTAAAAGGAATCGAATTCCACTAACGAGCATATAGCTCAGCTGGAATTAGGAGCTTGAGTTTAAACCCTAGTATGCAGCTGTGATATATACTCATTGAGAGAGACTTGATCTAGATTAGTCAGGAGGGTCTGAAGGGCTCTGGATACTGTGTGCACGTGTTTAAAAAAAAAAAAGGAATTGAATTTCTTCAACCTAAAGCCAGTTGCCACTAACTTGTTCTGAACCCTTAAGAATATGAATTTCTGTATACTGATGGTTTATTTCATTCATTTTGGTTCAATCCTGTATATATATATATGCAGAATCCAGGGCAATAATGAGATATTATGCAGAAAAGTACAAGTCTCAGGGCGTAGACTTGCTGGGGAAGACGATGGAAGAGAGGGGTCTGGTGGAACAATGGCTGGAAGTTGAGGCACAAAACTTTCACCCATTTGCTTATAACTTAGCAATTCATATTCTGTTTGCTTCAATAATTGGGATCACTCCAGATCCAAAAGTGATTGAAGAGAGTGAAGCTAAGCTGGACAAGGTTCTCAACATTTATGAGGAAACGCTCTCAAAGAGCAAGTACTTGGCTGGTGATTTCTTCAGCCTGGCTGATATGAGCCATCTTCCATTCATGGATTATCTGGTCAATAATATGGGGAAGGAGCATCTGATTCACAAGAGGAAGCATGTCAGTAGCTGGTGGGATGATATCAGTAGCAGAGCTTCATGGAAGAAAGTTTTGGATCTTCACAAAGCTCCTATATAGGTGTTTCTGTATGACAAGATCAATGAACAGTGAAATGACTCAGTGAGTGTGTGGTTAGAATAAATTTGTATTATCATTACCTTCTTCAATTCTGATGAGGAAAGGTAAGCGAGATTTAAAGAGGTTATATTTTCTTGTGGTGGAAATTGAAGGAGCATCAAGTCTTTGAATTTTGTTTATTGTGAGTGGGTTGTGATTTTGAAATGCAATAAAAATGTTACTTTAAGTCTACAATAAAAGTGAAAATTTACTCTTCTAACCTTACATAAAATTTCATTTTAACCTATTAATTTTATAAAGTATTTTTTAATCTTTTAATTTTAATATCGTTAATCTTAAATGATGATTTTTTTATATCAATTATTATTATTAAAAAATTAAATTTAATATATCAATATATGAAAAATATTTTGTGAAGTTTAATATCAATATTTTTTGTTAATGAAATTAATGACGTTAAAATTAGAATATTAAAATTTTTTTATAAAATTAAATGATTAAAATAAATTTTTATATAAAGTTAAAAAACAAAAGTTACAATTTTTCTTAAATCTACTAATAAAAGATGTGAAACCAGTTAAGCACCTAAGCTTTTGAATTTGAAAGGTGGGGCATCTCACATTTATGGACAATGTTCCCTTTTCTCTTTTGCTAAGTCTTTGTGGTGTACCTCCTCGGTTGTTACTTTTCCAGAATGCCCTTTTCTGTATTTTTTTGGAGGTCATTTTCCAAATCACCATTTTTGGAGATGGCCCGCTCCAAGTGCTCATAAACTTTAACTAATAAAACTTGTCCTTTCATAAAAGTTAATTAATTGGAATTTTGTAGTATTTTTTTTTTTTTGGCCAGCAGGAATTTTGTAGTATGAACAAAAGCTTTTTCTCTTTTATTATATTTTATTATGCACAAATTTTTTTAAAAATACTATTAAATATTAAATATAAATATCTCTTTTAATAATAATTTAAATCTTGATTTATTATACTATGAGGAATTTTCTTCTTCCGTAAAACTAACTTCTATTTTCATTTGTTTATATTTTCTTCACATCAGATGTCGGTACAGTACATACCCACTCTTAGTCACATGGCATTATAAGGAAATTATTTGTCTTGGAAAAAGTTGTAGTTTACCGTCTATACAGTACTCAAACTTTTCATTATTGGTACTTAACAAGGGTCATTTATTTATATCATTTTTTATATTATTTTTTCAGTTTTTAACATTTTTTAAAGATATTTTGTGCATATTAAAAGCATTTAAAATTATCTAGGCTACTTTTATAATTTTCAGAACTTTTGAGGCAAAAGTGCAACTTATTAAAATAATTTTTGAAAAATAAAAAAAAAATCATTTGCTAATTTTTAATTTTTCATTAATCCCATGAGTTTAATTTGAGTTAATTCAACTAAAATTTTAAGATGTTCACTAAAACATCCTTCAAAGTATACACTTTTTATACTTTAATTGTATTTTTCATGAACTTTGGAAATGTCTTAGGTTTAGTTTTTTGTAATCAAGAATTCCTAGGAAACTTCTCATAACCAAATTTATCATCTAATCTTCCATTTAATCACTTTAGTTCATTTCACCATATTTCATAATTCACGTCTAAGTTAGATAAATTCATATGACACATAGAATTAATTATACACAACTTTCTATTTAACGGGTTCATTGTTTGTTTTAGGCTATGAGAAGCTCTTAAATGATGATAGCAGTCCCTTGCACAAAATTGGAGCCCTTTGATGAGTTAATTGGATGATCAAAAGGTCACAAATAGTTGATGAAATATCAAGAAAGCATAGGGATAGTAATGACAATTTCATCTTTCAATTTCAATTCTTCTTTTCCTTATTTTTGTCATCCATTTTTTCATCATTCCCACCATGTTATTTTCAAATTTCTCCTTCAATTTTTAGATTATTAGATGTCTGCTATTTCTATTTATTATCGTTTAAACAATTCATTCCCAAATTTTATAGCCATACATGAAATACCATGTGAAAAGACCCTTAGATACACATAAGGCTCACATCACATTAATTGGGGCACTTGGTGAACATTATTTCTATTCATTAGATTGATCTAAATGAGCCTCAAACACTCTAAAATAATCTGAATTTTGTGCAACACATTGACAACTGATAACCTATTAAAATTGATGCCAGTTCAACACATTTTCGTATACTTTCATTTACTATTTGGTCCAATTGTGAATATTTTGGATTCGAATATATAAGAACATGGGCTTTGGTTCAATTTAACCTTGATGATAAAATTTATTGGAAATTTTTGTAAAGAATCTTGCCTTGATTTGAACTTTGAAAGCTCATAGTCATATCTATTGTTTCAGGTAACTCCTGATGGGTAATCATGACAATGGAGATCTAAATGATGCTTGAAGATGAATTTGAAAACATAAGGTAGCCAAAATTGAGCCATAAAAGAAGATGAAGCTTTTTGTGTCATGTGTTGCAATGTATGTGCAGTACGCTACAGCATGTGGCATAAAGAAAAGGGCTTCCAAGAATTGCACAGGCATCATGGCGCAAGGACAACAAGCCATGGCATACTTCACAATCTTGCACATGTGTTGTGGCGTAGTGAGAACATGCCGTGGCACATGGCTTAAATGTTATTGAGCGTTTTGAGTTGCAAAATGCAAACTACGGTTACATAAGCTTATTTACACGCCTCTAACAAGACACACACGATTTCCAGAGGTCTTTTAAAGCTAACTCTGCTAGGGTTTTGGGTTCTTAAGGGAGATTTGGCTAAAGATTGAAGATTTGAAGAGCAAGTGAATTTCCTTTAGTTTTTCTGCTTTGCTTCCCTTTTCTCTTTATATTTCTAATATGGGTGCTAAACAATTTATTGTTTGTTGTTCTTTTTTGAACATGAGTGGTTAGTTTACTTTTTCTAAGATTATTTTAAACATTTGTATGGATTAATACTTGATTACTTCTCTCTTTTGATAGTTAATTGTGTGTGTGTGTGTGTGTGTGTGTGTGTGTGTGTTTTATCCTATGCTTAATGCTTCTAAGTGTTTGGCCATCATTTGGATTGTTGGATTTATGTAAGTGGTGCTTGAAAAAGCTAAATTAGATATAGAACTTAGATAAAATAGTGTTGGATTTAAAATTTACAAAGATAAATAGATGGTATTGTTGGTAAAATAGATATTTTATTAACCCTTCACAATTACACTGGGATTGGTACTTAAAAACTTGTTTTCACTAATTATTTCCAAGAGAAATTTTAAAGTTGGTAAATATATTTGATTTTGACTTGAAAAAGCTTTTTGAAATAAATTAGAATCTTAGACTAGCACTTATTTTTATTATAAATCATTTTGAGAGGAGTTAATTAAAGGCTTATGAAATATAAAGGAGAGAAATAATCCTAGGTTCTTATCTCTAAAATTCATTGTTTCAACTAATTTACTTGTTTTAAAATATCTTTTCAATCTAACTTTCATACTCTCACACAAAAATCATACTTGATTTTGTTCAACCTAACTTAAAGCTTAGCAGCAAATTTTTAACCCTCTTTTTTCTAAATCCTCATGGGAACGATATCTCTAGAATATCTGCACTTGTGATGACTCGTATGCTTGTGATAACGCTTGACAACAAACAACAACCCCTTCATTCATATTTTTTACTTATCTTCCACCTTTATTGATCTTCATCTTTTATTTCAAGAATACCTAGGAACCCTAGAACCTATTCCATCACTTCTCCACTTAGACCCCTCCATTTCACCATCCAAATACACTAAAACACTCACTGAACAATTCGCACTATAATCCACTAAAACAATCCAGCATCCATTCCATTTTCATTTAGACCAAATCTCAAGGTCATCATCCATGGTAGTTTTCAAAGTTCATCAACAAGGAAAGGCTATGAAAATGCTAATGATGAGTAGCTAGGCTTATCTTCTCTTCCTAAGAAGCATGGATGAACTCTCTTTGAGATGTTAGATTTTGAGAGTTTCTCTTATCTCTTACCTATTATTTAAGTTCTTAAATTTTGATACTTATGACATTATAATAACAATGGTTGTTGGAATTGAACTTTGTGATACTTGGTAGAGTATTATATCAGGTTATTATGTTGTTTATTTGCCAATTGAGGTGCTTCAATTTTGAATTTGGGGCTATCCAATATAATTTTATTCAATCTCTTATTGTATTTAATTTCTAGTCGCTTCTTGTGAACTTGTGAAACACGATTGTATATTAAAATACTCTTGGAGTTGGCTAATCATTTTTCTTAATCAATTGAGGCTTCATTTGGTTAAGTCAAGGGCTAGAATTGACAATTAACAACATAATCAATTGGTTATCTTTAAAGCATAATTAGTTCTAAGAATTAATTTAAGGTTCTAGTTAATCTAAAGAACCTAAAAGTGCTAATTCCTATTAGTTACTAGAATGTCTTTTAAACCAATTAGAGTTAAGAGGGAATTATTTAGATAGAGAAAGAATAAGAAAGGGAGTTCATATGCCTAGGAAGACCATAAATTTTCATTTTAATCACAAATTAATTCATTTTCCAAATTTGTCCAATCTTAAAAATATACCAAAAAAATAGTTAGCTTTTAATCTTTGCTTTAATTCAAATAATCAAATCCACTCAAATTGTTAATATTTAAGGGATAAATATGAAAAATGATATTGTTTGAAGACGAGTAATTACTTTATTAAGAAGTAAGATTCAGTTAAAAATGTTTTAAATTTTTTAATGGAGGGAGAAATTATTTTTACATGTAAATGTTAAAAGATGGTATATCATTATGGATTTGGATATGATGAGTGACTTAAGTTACTTAATAAGAGTTTCATATGCTGCTATATTAACGGTTTGATTTAATTGAATGGTTGTAAAATATTTTGTCATATAATATTAAAAAATTATCAAATATCAATTTTTTAAAGGAGACAACATGAGTAAAAAGTGTTCTAAATGTGTTGATTATTTTAAATATCTGAATAAAAATATATCTTGATAATTTTTAAATATAAATAAAATTTAATTGCTGTAGTAGATAAAAAAAATCTAACTGCTATAATTAAGATACTCATTATGAAGACATTTATATTGACATGTAAATGGAGACTTGAAAATAATTAATTGTTTGATTTGGGACCTATTTGAAACCATTATGTTTG